AAGGTGGGAAGAAGTTGCCCAGCAGTGGAGTGTTTTCTGTCGATGTGTGCTCCTATCACCACAGAGAGATTGTGCCAATGGGAGAGATGAGCTGCTAGCCTGACCAGCAGGTCCTGCCATAATACCTGCCTGAAGAAGGGGCAGTGTGGGGACTTTCTAATCCAGCAATTACTGGTGAGGTGACATCCTACTCTCCTGGTGGAGAGCACTGTTCTAAAGAGACAATGGTGGGTTTTTTTAGATGAAATACAAAGCTAAGGTCATGAACCTATGTGGCTACTGAAGAGCTGGTTTCCAGAACTCCTTTTGTAAACTTAGGGATTTTGTTGTCCTGATTAAACTCCAACTTGGAGTAGTTATATTTTATCTTCCTGCACCATTGTGTATTGTCACTTGGAGAAGACATTCTTCACTGTTTCCTCCACAGAACTGGTCTCTACCATTACTGAGTAGGGTCCAATAGTTTGTTGTATTTGAGTGTCAGATGAAACGGTCTCTGCAGGAAGGCTAAAAGGTTTAACTGGATGTGTTTACAAAACACTGTAAAACAGGCAGATGAGAGCACTGATTTGGTGATTGTAGGTGGTGCAGTGTGTACAGTTCACTGGCTGACGCAGCACATTCTCATGTTACATTGTTTGGGAGGAAATTTAGATGTAATGACTGCAAGACAAAAGACAGTCCCTTCCCTGTTTATTTGCGTCGCCTGACTTTGAAATTGCTGCTTTGTTCAGGTCCTTCTTGGCCAGCAGCCTATAAATAGCTATTTATCCAGTAAATTTTTGCATGACTTGATAAATGCCTGCTGGAATTGCAGGAAACTGGCTGTTATTTACAGTTCCTGCAACTTTCTCCTTATTATTCATGCTATGGAAGTTAGACTCCTACCAGCTGAAACAGCTGCTAGGTGGAAGCAGATTGAGACTTCAGGAGGAATAGCATCGGTACCTAACAGCCTGTTAGCCTTCCTGTTAGTGCTGCAGTGGGCTCTTGGGCTTTCTGGTAGATCAGGCTTTAGCTTGCTGCTTCAAGATTTAAAAACGAATCTGCAGAGAGCTCTTTATACCAGCACGGAAATACATATGGATAGGGAAATTGTATCCTTTACTTTTCTGAATTGATTTTTCAGAGCTGTGGGTACGCTTTGGCTTATATCAAGATGCACAATATATCCTTTCCACACTTGTGCTCGTGTTTGTGGATGCATGTGCATAATGTGGTGCATAATTGGCTGAGCTTTTCGCAGCTTCCCGATTTGCACATGCAACTCCTAATTTCGGTCCAGCAGGTGCACGCATGCATTTTCATCAGCCAGTCTTTGTGATTTCCCCCAAACCAACATATGTTGAGGGACAGCAGAATTAGAAATTGCTGACTCCCAATATTTAGATTGTCCTGCTTCAATTAGTTGCCTTTTAGACAAAACAATCTTTTCCCTCTGGGGTTTTGCATGCTTTGGAGATTGGTGCTAATCAGAAGAAACTCAATCAGTGTTTGCTGGTTTAGTCTCCCTGCAGAAGTATTAGTAAATTAGCTCGAAATTACAGTTTAAAAAGAGAGAGCTGGTGAATTAGTGAGAGTGAAACCTTATTTTAAAGACCTGACTTTTGAGATAGGCAACAATTTGTTATATGCTGTTGGACCCTCTGTTTTCCCCAGTGTCCTTATAAATGAACAGTACCAACTTTCTTCCATGCATCCCCATCACTACAATCTGGTGTATTTACATGGAAAGGAAGTTTATGATTGCAGTAACGACTGGTTTTGCCACAATTGTTGGCGATTTGTGTTACTGTAGCAGCTCCATAGAATAACACTCCATAGAAAGCTGACTACTTTCAGAGTGGTTACCTCAAAATAGCCTCAAAACATATGATGCCAAGGGTCAGCTTGCCTTTGCTCCAACGGGAAGAGTTGGATCAAAAAAAGCTGTCTATTTATAAGAAGCTGTCCTTGTTTTGGGCAGCTTGGAAACTCACAGCTGCTGAGGACAGAGCAGCCAGTTTGGAAGCGGTCGGCTTTCTAGGGAATGCTGGTGGTCGGTATGAAGCCACAGCAACAAATGTGCCAGTCATTACTGCATGATTAATGGCTCATAACATGAAGAATTGCAGTTCAGTTACTTGTTACTGCTTTCCCATATATTCCATATGCCATACCTCCTGTACAGGATGTCTTCACAGTCTTTTGTCCTGTGTTGATGTGTTTTGAAAGCAGAGACCAGACTAAGAGGACCTAGACTTCATCCGTTGCTGCTGATTGAACTGTCATTTCAGGTTAAACGTGCCTTCAGCATAGTGAATTCTAATACTGTGTAAAAGAATTATTTACTACTTAGAATTTTTCTTTTAAGCAATCGCTAGTACATTGTTAAAAGTACATTGCCTTCAGTATGGTTAGTTTTTTTTTATGAAAAGAGAGAAACAAAAAGCCTTGATTGTTTACTAAATGGTAACACGGTAACATATTTTCTTTTTAGTTGACCTGGTACTATGTTATCCTCTAAGCCCATCCAACCCTGGTTCATTTCATTTAAAGCTCCCAAATGGCCTTACTCTAACTTATGCTTTTTGCATGTTTACCTAACGACTACATGGGTAGTTAAGCAGCTTGGTCAGACAAGCTAAATACCCTTTTTTAACTTTAAGTAATGAAATGCACATTATGTATCACACACTTCTAGAGCTCATTTTATTCAGTAGAGGCTTCTCTTTCGCCTCGTGGCTCTGCTTATCCCTGTCATCTCAGGACTAGTGTCATGTATGGGTCTGAATGTGTGTGGTGGTTCCCAAAGACTCTCACCTTCCGTGCTGTTCTTTGTAGACTTTTTAATCCCATTCCCCAAGGCTGTTCGTATCAGTAAGGCAAGAAAGCCTGGGTTTTTCACTGCCAGAACTGTGCCAACTATCTGACATACAGGCGTTATCTAAGCCGAATTCCTTAGAGCTGATGGGTTCCTATCAAGGCAAAGAAACCGCCTATGTTTTTGTTGGATTTAACTTCTGGGCCCCTTCACACTTATCTGGTGTCAGAAATAGGGCATTTGTAATAGATTAAAATCCTTCAAAAGCGAAGTTTCTTCTCCAAAACCTTCCCCTGCCACTCCCCCAGAACCCAGATGCGTTACTGAGTTTTATATAAGTAGGTCTAATTTTTCAGACATGAAGATAACACACCAGAAGCTTCCTGTCACTTTCCTGCTAAAAGATGCTGCTTTAAAGATACTGAATTTTGATTTCCTTGGCGCTGTTACTGTTTCCAATGTGCTCTTTACCCTGAGGGGCACTGAAGAATGTTCCCATATCCAGTGGTCCATGAACTCCAGAGATTGTACTGCCCACTTTTTCTTTTGTAAATGTAACTGGTACGTTTTCAGTTCAGGGTTCAAAGTATGAAGTTTAGGGTTGCCTGCACGGCTGTCAGGCTGGTGGGGTCACACCAGTTACTGTGGACAATGAGAAGACTGGAAATGCACCCATGGCATTTGATGCCCTGGGGAAGTAACCCAGCTCCTGCCTGCAGGCCCATTGACAAAGAAAGTCCTCGAGCACTTGGCCAGACTAGGGCCTGAATCCAGCCTGCAGAGTGACAGTGAAGAGCTCCACAGCTCTACCGTGCATCCCAGTTGGACAGTGACACTGATGCTAAGCCCAGTGTGGGAAAGGACTTACATTTTCTCCAAGACCCACGCTGTGTCCAGGACGTGCCCTGAGTCTAAACAACAGCTGCAAACACGTATTTTCTTATCTCCCTTTCCAGCCTTGGCACATCTCCAGGCTGAACAATAGCCTCTGGATTGTCTGTTTTCTGGCTAAAAGGAGACAATGGCAGTCAATATGAGCAAAGTTACTCCGTGTACATCAAGGACAATTACTGTAATAAGAAGAGGACGTTTTCAAGGAACTCCCCTTCCAGGGAACAAAGAGCCACAAGGCCATGTGCCACGGCTCTTTCTCTGGAGACGTCAGCAGCACGGGCTCCCCATCTGCCCCTGAGCAGGGCCTGCAGAGCCAGGACACCCCATCTGCCCCCGAGCAGGGCCTGCAGAGCCAGGACACCCCATCTGCCCCCGAGCAGGGCCTGCAGAGCCAGGACACCCCATCTGCCCCCGAGCAGGGCCTGCAGAGCTAGAACACCAGACTGGAGCGTTCTTCATTCTCTTTGGGGGTTTGGGAACTGGTCCTTTTCAAGGGCTGGGAAGGGCCCAGAGCTTAATGGGCTTATCTGTGTGCAGGGAAAGGAGGTGGAAGAGGGGAAAAAGAAAAGGAAAAGACCTGTGGATAACACAAAATTTAAAAATGAGGAATTCAAAGCATAGTAGGGAGAAGGGGTGACAGCACTGGGTCTGTGCTGCTGGCACAGGAGCTGGGCTGGAGACCTGAGTGACCGAGGCTCCTAGTCACACAGGGGTGGAAGGGAATGATGGAGCTGAGCTGGGATTTCCTAAGGCTGGACAGGATCTGCCTCCTCAGTCAGATATTTTAATATTTTATATCTCACCCCAGATATGTTGGGGTGACCAATTACTGTATTTCCCCCCTCCCTTCCCCCACAGAGCGTGCAGCTTCTAGCAGAAACAAGTTCGGGTACAAAGCAGAAACACCCTTTTGGCGTGTTGTTTCTGGGGAAATGAAGCCTTTAGGCTGTGAAAGGGGCTTGTGGTGTATCTGCGGGTGGGAGCCTGCGGGTGGGAGGAGGGCAGGAGTGGAGGCTGGAGGCCGCTGCCCGGCCCGGGGGCCGGCGGGGATGCTGAGCCCGCCGTGCCGACTCGCACGGGCGGCCCTCGGGGGTGTTTTTCCGCAGGGAGCCCGGTCAGGTGCCGGAGGAGCATCCATCCAGCCCGGCCCTGGACGTCAGCGCGGGAGGGGAGGGAGCCCGGGCCGGCTCCGGCGCCGTTGCTGCGGCAGCAGGAACCTGGGCAGCATCCCCGGGAGCCGGGCGAGCAAACTCCTCCTCCCTCCCGCTCTCATCTCCTCTCTCTCCCCGCTTCCTTCGCAAAGATGGCAACCGAGGGGCTGCAGGAGAACGAGACCCTGGCATCGCTGAAAAACGAGGCCGAGAGCCTGAAGGGCAAGCTGGAGGAGGAGCGGGCCAAGCTGCACGACGTGGAGCGTGAGTGGGGCCTGGGGGAACGGGAACACGGGCCGCCGCCGCCCCGACACGGGCACTGCGCAGCGGGGGGCCGGGGAGGGCAGGGGAGGGCAGGCATCCCCCCGGGAATGGGCCGGGGAGGGCAGGCATCCCCCGAGGGGGAAAAGGAATACACCGGGGAGAGCTGGGGAGGGCAGGCATCCCCCCGGGGAGAGCCGGCATCCCCCCGGGGAGAGCCGCCCCCGCGCCCGCCCCTGGGGGTCGGGGTGCCCTCTTCCGCCATGGGCCGCGCCGCTCGGACAATGCGCGGCGGCTCCGCGCCCGGGGGGTGGAACGGGAAGCGGATGGGGAAGGCGGGCGGCCCGGCCTCCCGCAGCAGCCGCGGGCCCGCAAGAGGCGGCCGGGAGCGGGGAGCGGCACCCCGCATCCCTCCGGGAACACCGCATCCCCCCAGGAACCCCGCATCCCCCCGCATCCCCCCGCGGGTGGTGCTGGCCCGGGCCGGGCTGCGCGCAGGCTGTGCGCCCTGCCGTAGGGGAGGCCGGGCTGGGAAGGGAGGGTGAAATATCCCCCCCTCAGCGGACTCTGAGATTGACTGGCATGGTGTCAGGGCACATCTCAGCGGCAGAAACAAAGGTTAAACCCAGCCTTGTGGAAGTTGGTGGGAATTTGCTCTAATAAGGCCAGGATTTCAGGCAAGGTGGAAGGGCTTAAAGAAAAGGAGCACTGTTTCCCCAAACCAGCTCCTTCTCCCCCCTCTTCACCCAAGGAAACAACTTGCAGGGATCCAGTGCTGATTCAGAGGTACAGGGTGAGTCAATGCTCCAGCTGTCAATGCAAACTCACTGTTATCAGCAGCAGTTTCAAGATCCATAACAGAAATGACATGGACAGATTTCAACCCTGCCCTCTGCCCACGCCCCCCACACCTCTGTTCAGGAAAAAATCGGCTAACCTTATTTTTATGAAGCTTGTCAAGTAGGTGTTAATCCTGTCCTGACATATAATGTAATAATAAGGCAATAATAAGGTAATAATCCTAAGATATAAAAATCCGCTTATTTGTATTTCTATTTCATTTTTACAATTACAATGAGATAATATATTGCATTTCTCTTTTTTTTAAACAAAAAACATATAAATTACTGTATTCCCCTGAAATCATATAGCTCAGTTTATTAGAAGCAATAGTGGGTCATTAAAACTTTTATTTCATCTGTTTTGACACCTTAAATGTTGAAAAGGAATCCCAGCCTGTATTCAGTGATTTAGCTCTTAGTGTTTTGTAAGACTGAGGGACTGGCAAACATTCTTAAATTTCAGATGGGGGAGGGTTAAAATATTTTTTTCTGGAGTAAATAGAGCATTTTCTTGTCTAAATTAGACAATCATACGTTATATGAGTGTCCCATTAATAGAAGTCATTAAACAAATGGAGATGGCCTCGTTACAGAAACATTACCATAAATCATCATATTCCTACAGTACAATTTCTGTATCAGAAGCAGTGGGGCCTTTGTTTCACAGATCTTCTAAGCATATGCTTAAATCCACTTTTGCTCACAAAGCATTTTAGCTATGATTGCAGTGACGCTGTAACTGTGCGTGTCACTGTTAGTCATAGGATACTTATGTCTTCGTCATATGTAGAATCTGTAAATTTACACTGGAAGGCTGTGTTTGCGTAGCCATGACATGATTTCTGAGACAAAAGTCTTATACTGCTGTAGAACAATGCTCCCTCATTGATTCTGTATCAGAGCTTTTTTTGCACTGAAATTATCCCCAAGAACTATTTCTGCAGAGATTGTAAGTTTCAGAATAAAGCCTCTCTTCTGTTTTGGTTTTTTGGTTTTTGTTTCCTAATCTAAAATTGTATCTTTTGCATTTTTTTGCTCTGATCATGACTTTTCCTCTATGGTTCCCAAAACAAACAGCTGGCTGAACTAGGATTGCCCTTATTTGTTCAACTGGTTTTAAACAGCAGCTCTCAAAAATGTGGACAGAAAAAGGAAATTCCAAACGTGCATTTGATTTGCAATCTTATAATTTTAAGGAGTCAATTATGTCGCTTGAAATTTTAGATGTAGATACAACAGTTTCTTCTGTTCATGAGATCCATAAATCTTTAAGGCCAGAAGAGACCGTTAGGACCAATTGACTTCCAGGACAAAAAAGATCAAAGACCCAATAGTACCTGCATCAAGTCCACACCTCCTGTTCAGGCCAAATGATATGTTTTAGGAAAACAGCCTGTTTTATCTGGACCTTTGTAAAACCACTCAAGCTACTTACTGGCTTTAGCTGATCTACTTGCCTGACTGCATAATTTTCAACTATCTTGAAAAAATATTAGAGAATGCTTCAAAATAATTATCTGACCCTAAAACCTGTGCTAGGCGGGTGCGGGATTATTGTGGCTGTGGTTGGAGATAAGCATCCTCAGAGAATCAGTAAGGCCAAACCAGGCAATTCCACAGAGTCTCGGCTGCGTTGACATAATGGAAACACTTTGCCCATTGTCCGTGAAACGTTTGTTTTTTCAGATATGTTCTGGATACAGGCATCTTTCCAGCTGCCATAATAACCCCCTGTCCTGTGATTTCATGTCATTTGATTGGATCATTTGGCAGATTTCCGTGGGCAAAAGTAGGGGGAAATGTCTCTTTTCCTGAGTGGTTTTATATGGTACTTTATCAGAAACTTGCTTCTGGCCTCCTGTTAGAGATGGTATGGACAAATTGTCAGGAATGGTGTAACAGCGCTTGTCCCCTGGCTGGGTGAGACTGGTCGAGCAGAGATTTCAGGTGAGAACATTATTCTGGCACAGCCTGTGGAGCTGCTGGTTTTGAAAGACAACTCTTGAAGAGCTAATCCACTAGAAATCAGTCTCTGACTTAGGCAGAGATTGCTCCCCTGACCCTGTGCCCGGGAATGATCTCAAAGTTAAGGATGCCTGCTCTCTCTTCCTAACCCATCAGTGTTCTTGCAGAGACGAAGAGTGAAGCAGCAATGCAGCTCCAGAGCAATCACTGCCATATGGGGTGTGGAGCTCAGCCTCCAGCGTGGCATTGAAAAGCTCATTAAAACATGTGAGATTCTGCAGTTATTTCAGAAGGTTTGAGTCAGCAATTGCCCCTTTAGCTAACAGCAGCTGGATCATCTTAGATTTCAGCACAGACAAACACGCAACACAGGGACATGCTGGATCCTATTAGCTCTTCTCTAGACAGAGTAATTTTAAATTCTGGTATCAGGGTCTCCTGCCCCAGGAGCCCTACTCTGCTGTGAGACTTGAAGTGACTCCCACCCTCCCTGATGCTGTGAAGTGTGTCAGAGCTGCCAGAGGGTGCCAGGGTACGTCATGGCCCTGCTCAGCTCCAGGCTGGATGAGCAACGCTGGAGCAGAGCAAATAGGTTTCCTCAGATGACACTTTCTCCCAGCATGAGGCATCAGGGTTACACAAGACACTGTTTAGTTGTGTGAGCTGCAGTGGGATGAATTTTATGTCTAAGAGAGTTTGCACAATTGGAAATGTAAATTTGGTGGGTTTTTAAAAATATCAGCTGAAAGAACTGCTATTAGGTGAGGTATGAAAGAACTGACTTCACCACCACCAGAGGATGTTACTCAGGAAGGTTTCTTGCCTGCCCTCTCTGTTTCTTTTTCCCATAAAAGAAAAAGCTGACCCACCTATGAAGTCCTTGGTGTCCTTGGACATCATGGTGTACTTCAACACTGTTGAGAAGCTGGGTAGCACGCTCTTATAGCAAATGTCAAACTTCCCTGCTCACTCACAGCTGTGTCCTTGCCCTCAGTGCCCCCCTGGCCACCAGAAGGAATGGCACAGCAGAGAAGTGTCCAGCACCAGTGGCTAGTACCTGTATCACAATGCACCACCACTGCAGTGCTGGGAGTCTCACATCCAGCACAAGTGTTTTACTGCTGAAACTTTGGAGACTTGATGCTTACTCCCTTCTTTTGTATGATTTTTTCCTCTAAGCCCCCGTAGTGGTCTTCACTTCTGCTGAGTACCTTGAGGCATGCGTTAGGCTGGAGGCTGTCTCTGCACCTTCAAGCCTCAGTCAGATTGAGGATTTCCCAATAAGAGGGAGCAAGGGGATAATCTTATTTTCTAGTTATACTTGGGTGCGATGGTCTGCAAGAGCTTCAGCTGCTACAGCCCTGGAATTCAAGCCCCCAGGAAACTGATCCTTATCTTTATCTGGTGAATATGTTCATACACCGCCCACCTTGGTGTTACCACCTGCCAGCTCTGAAGCAGTTTGTTGGCTTGCACCATAGACTCAAACTTCATCGGTTAATTCCTCCAAGTGACCTTATTCGTAGACATAGAGGTTTGCCAGGACAGAGCTTTGATGCAGGGCTCTCTAACCATCAGCTGTTTGCAGTTCATCAGGTGGCAGAGCGTGTGGAGGCGCTGGGCCAGTTTGTGATGAAGACCAGGAGGACCCTGAAGGGCCATGGAAATAAAGTTCTCTGTATGGACTGGTGCAAAGACAAGAGAAGAATTGTGAGCTCTTCCCAGGTATGCTGTTGGGCAGATGTTTTTCAAAGATACTGTTGGGTGCTGTACAAATCTTTTGGCTGTGTGATGTGCCACTTTTTGCAGATGACACTTGTGTACAGTGTAAATGTTTTCAAGATGCCCTTAAAGCAGTTCATTGGCAATAGATTTGTTCAAAGACCATAGATCCAAGCTTCTGATCATTGCTACACCTGTTGTAGCTGATACCCTAAATATTTCTTGTCCAGTCATACACAGATTTTCCTCATATTCCCTATTACAATAGAAAATACAGAGAATTCATCTGAGGCCGCTTTTATTTCCTTGTTCTCTACAGATAAAACATTTAGTAGCAATTATAGTTTATGTGTTCAGAGAAAATAATCAGGAAAAGGGAAGGGAAGAAATGTCGATTCTTCCGGAGATTGCTGCACACAGAAATTTCTTCTGTAGTCTGTATGATTGATGCAACCTTGAAAAACCTCAAACATCCTGCCAAAATTACTGCATTTAGTTGGGCATTTTGAGAAACAGTCCTAACACCTGCTCAAGACCAGTCTCATGAGTTGGAGGAGGTAATGAGATAATTACTCTCCAGATCCCCTGGTTCATCCTGAGCCCAGTATGGCAGCGAGTGAGCTTGCTGCATCTCACAGCTGTTCATTGACCTATATGAAATCCGTCAGGGGTCTCACTTGAGGGATAAAAATAGGCAATCTGCATTGCAAGCCACCTTCAGTTACTGTGAGTTTTTACCATTCATGGTAATCTCAGCAAAGAGAATGATTTTAAATAATTAATGTCACATTTTTTAAAGTGGTTAAAATGCCAGTGTGTAGATGGGGAAGCTGAATGGGCAAGTTGTAATGCATTTTTTACTCTATTTTAAGAGCTGCAATGAGTCCAGGTACAGCAACAATTGTTGCACAGTAATAAACATTTTGCTTTCACCACACAGGGTATTATGTGCATAGGGGAAAGTAGCAGGCACGAGCGTAGCCGGCATACACAAAGTGATTGTGTTGCTCTCTGTGGAGGGTTCTTAGGATGGCTATTCAGCAGATCGTATCAATGGGCAGTTGAAGGTTGAGTAAGAGTAGTGAGAAGTAAAGGGGAAACCAGGAAAAGAAAGGAAGGGGAAGATGAATAAACAGTGTAATGTCCATAAATTGTCCCCATGAATGCCCACGCCCAACAAGTCATTTGTAACACAGGTCACCTCCTGTATTTGTAAGGTTCCGTACTGAGCCACTGACAGATACCACTTGGGAGAGGTGGCCCATTTGCAGGTGGTGATTACGGGCTGGGAGAAACACACTGTGGTTGAAAGAAGGCAAGTGGTGGCTCAGTAGTGGCAGTTCCATCTGCCAGTTTCCTGAGGAGATGGTCCTGTGCATGGCAGGTGCTGCGAGTGAGAGGAGGTCCCATCAACCTGTGAAAGGGAAGGGAAATAAGTAAATAATAAATAGGTCTTTTAAGGTGACATCAGTCATCTCAGTGAGGAGGAGATACGCTTCTCTTCTGGTCAAAGACATAAGCCACACTATTGAAGGTGTCTCCTCGGTGCTTTGCTGTGACCATTGTGCTGTTGCTAGCATGGAGACAAAAATGTCATGACGTAATGGACTGGGGGATGGAAATGAGCAGCAGAGTTTTTCCCAGATCTGAGAAGTAGGCTGACAGCCGTGTCTCTGGAAGGCCTTAATTTCTCTCTCTGTTTGTGTGCTTTCATTTAGGATGGGAAGGTGATCGTGTGGGATTCCTTCACTACCAACAAGGTAAGTGAAACTTCAGCAAACTTCCAATTTCTGTGTACAGGGCAAATGATAGTGGGATAAGATGGAGAGCTGAAGGGCTCACAAGAGGCAAGCAGGATGATGGGATGAGATGCAAACCTCCATGAGCACCTCAAACCTCGCGGCACCCTGCTCCACACAGCTGAGAAAAAATAGCTTGTTTGTAACTCACTTTTACACGTGCAGCAGTGGGGGGGCCTTTTACAGCACTCAGTAAATAAAACATGCTCTGTGATCAGTTTGGGGCTCATGAATAAGGTGGAAAGTGTCAGGGAGGGGTGAGCCATTCTTGCTGCTCTGCTGGGTTCTGCAGTAAGGGCTGTCCCAGCCTTACATGTGAGTTATGGCTGGGGGAAACACCTTTCACTGACACTACAGATGTCCCACAGAAATACTGAACTTACTACTCTACACTGTTTTCCTTGTGCTGGTTAGAGAAGCAGTGACATCCCAGTTTAAAGAGATGCTGTGTTTCAGGAACATGCCGTGACGATGCCGTGTACCTGGGTGATGGCGTGTGCCTATGCCCCGTCTGGATGTGCCATTGCTTGTGGGTAAGTTCCCCGTTTCCACAGCTGCTCACACAGAGAAGCTTGATTTGTAGTGGAGTCCCGGTGCCTTTAGATGCTGACGGCTAGAAATTTGCGTGTCTTGGTTGTGGGTGGAAGGACTACATTCAGAGCCTCTGATTCTGTTCCCATAATGGCTCATACGCATTATCTCCACTGACTTCAGTGCAATAGCATTTGGTGGGTAAGCATGGAAAATAATCCTCTTTCAGCATTTATATCATGGGTTAGGAATTCTACATGCATGCAAGTTCCCTTCTCCGGTTTGGTTGTGTGTGTTGGATATATCTTCTAAGGGAGAGTGGTTTTAACCCTGTTTTTACTTTGCACTCTTTCTTCTATGATGTACAGAAGGTTAGTCATTAATGTTTACCAGCACATGAATAGAACTTGCCAAGATGGGGTGGGGAGAAGTAACCCCATCCTTGATAATTTTCTCCGAGTTTTCTGAGCGCTCAGGTTTGAAAAAAATGAGCTTATGCAGGGGAGAAAACAAAGAGATTGAGATGTTGGCAAAACATCTTTTAAAAAGGGACTGGGTGGATCAGACAGACAAAGCAAGCTTGGGGCGAGAGAGAGGAACAAAGGGAGCCCTCAGTGTGCAGCCTGCAAATCCAGAAAGCAGCAGGCTGAGACAGACAGGCAGACTCTGTACATGTGAGTGGAGAGGGAGTCCGGAAACTGTATGCTTTTGACTAAAACTTGGAGAATGGCAAGAAAGCTCAGTCTTCACCCTTGTGAGAGACAGGAAGGGCATATGTGCATTGCACTACCTACTTCTGTTTTTCTGTCAGTTAAGTGCTGTGCACGTGATATAAGGCACAGAACCAGCACCTGGTGGTGTGCCGGGATCCCAGGGACCTAGGCAGGGCTGACCTCCCACAGCTCTAGAAAAGGACCAGACACAAGTCAGACCCTTTAGAAAAGAGTCCCGCATCTGGCCTGGGAGACACAGCTTAACTGGTGCAACTGGTGTCCAGGAGGGACACAGCTACAGAGCTCAGTGCTTCTGTTGCCTTTTTTCCAAACTCTTCTAAAAGCCCTGTCTTCACACCCGCTACTTGCTGCACCGTCTATTCCATAGGAGTTAGGTCAAATTTATTAAGGTAGATAAACAATGATGCTTAAATACCAATCCTCGCAATGACAGATGTCAACAGAAATACGGCTGTTTGACTGTGAAACGTTAACCCTGAGGTGACTGCTATGTCACCTCCCAGTTTATTCTTTCGTGAGGTTTCATTCGGTGCCATTTATAAACTGGAGGAGGGTAGAAAATGCTGAGGAGCAGCTGTTGCAGTTGTGTAAAGCAGCCAGGCTGGTGAGGCAGCTGGGGCTTCCCTGCGCAGGGAGATCCCGGGCAGCACAATACAGGGAAGTCGGTACTTGTAAGGGTTGGCAGCGCAGCACTGACAGGTGGTTTCCTTCTTATCACCACTCGCCTTTTGTCGTTGCAGTTTTAACCAGTTCTCCTCTCTCTGTTACTGCTATTATTACTCTCTTTAGTGGCCTGGACAACAAGTGTTCTGTGTACCCTCTGACATTTGACAAAAATGAAAATATGGCTGCAAAGAAGAAGTCGGTTGCAATGCATACAAACTACTTGTCTGCCTGCAGCTTCACTAACTCAGACATGCAGGTAAATGCATTCCCTACCCGCTGCCACGGCCAGCAACACCTAACGTGAGCCGCACTCCTACGCCCTGCCGGTAGCCGTCCTTGCACCCGGGGCCGTGTCCTGCCCCGAGCCAAGGCTGCTGGAAGACCCTGGCTGGGGGCAGTGAGAGCGCTGCAAAAGCTGCTGTAAGGAAGTGCTGGTCACAGCCAGGGCTGGGCTGTCCTGCCTGTACCCTGCCAAGGCCTGCTGCTTCTTCAGAGGGAGCTCGCTGGTACTTGTGTGTCCTTTGCTCACTGAGTCTCTGCTGGCTTGTGCTTTTAGGAGCTCAAACTAATACAAATAGTTAAAAACCCAGTTTGGCTAGGACTAGGTTGGGTATGTGCTATGCCAGTGTTGTTTGCCTGCTTTGTCCTGGACGTCCAGCCAACTTTGCTTTTGCTTTCATTCTTGGTGTTTTTTGTTTGTCCCAAGTGAGATATTTGAGCTTGAGGATGGCCCCACAGGGCCAGCCCTGTTGTCCATACATGCAGTGGTCTGTTCCCTCAAGGGAAGGGAGTGATGTTATCCCCATCTCGCAGCTGGGGACTTGGAGCACAGTGGGAGACGATAGCAAAGCCAGGAACTAAATGCAGATCTTCTGAGACCAGGCCAGCCTTCCTCTGTAGTGAATATCTCAAAGATCTCTTTCTCCAGGAACACGAAAGATGATGATAGGAGCCAGGATAATCCCCTTGTCCTCTCTGGTTTTTGAATTTGATTGAAGCTCTGCTCAGTGCAGCTCTGCAGCAAAATAAGTGGCAGAAGGGAGCATTTTCATTGCTCTCTGTGTCAGCAGAGCTGCTCGAAAGGCAATACCTTGCCTGGATATTTGGAGCTCTTCTGAAGGAAATATCAGCTCTCATTGCTTCTATTTCAGGAGATGAGATGCCCAAGAATATGTTGTTGTTTGTCATTCTACCATTTCTGTAATGACTCCGAGGTGCTAATTTAAGTCCATTGCCATGGAAACAAGCACTGGAGGTACCCAGAGCTCAGGCTTGCTCAGCCCTGACCTTACTGTGCAGGATCCCTGCGTAATTAGAGCAGTCTAAATTAAGTGGAATGTTTTTGATGAGTAGAAAAACAGTACTCTTTTTTCTTATCCATACCTTTATGCATTGTGATTAAATACTATGAAAGGAAAAATAGTTATTTGTTTTTCATAATAGAAAAGGAAAGAAAAGTTGGGTCTTTTTTCTCCATATTAGATACAGCAAACTGCATTGATATTGAAGGTAATGTATTACTATTGTAAAATGATGTGACAGTGGATTTAGGTGCTTTATATTCAGTGATTCAGAGATTTTTCTGAAGACTTTAAAAAGACATTTTCTCGTGATGATAGGCTTGTAAGTGACCATTTATAGCACTGCGTGTTATTATTGAAACAAATACAAGCAAGCGGGTTGGTCAAGCGTCCGTTAGGACACTTATGTAGGGGAGAATCCCAGATTTCTTATCTTCTTCATTTTACATAATGGCTTCGGAGTTAAAATTATTCAGTAACTGAGGGTGCACAGTGCAACAAGTACGTTTCCCAGCTGTGTATGGAGCCACTCTGCTCTCCTGGCCAGTGTCACCGAGGGATGTGGTGCCTGTCCTGGAGCTGCCCAGGCGTGTGGCAGAGGTGTCCCCTAGCCCGGTGTCCCCATGGCACCCAGCACCCCTGCTCAGTGCTCAGAATGCTGCTGCTCTGCCTTGGCAGCTCTCCCAAAATACAGCTCGGTTTTCCCTCGGAGGAATGAAAGACAGAGTAGGAGTTTAGGAGCTGGTGTGCCCGTGGGCATCCGGCGGTGCTGTGGAAAGACAGGAGGTGTGGGGGTTGTTCATTATTGATTAATGCCGCTCTCAGGATGTGTGGGTGCTGAAAGAGGGGGTCCCATCCTTGCTGCTCGTCACGTTCCCACCCTGGGCCAAGACAAGTGCTGAGCTGTGGGGCTGGGCGACCCACGCACCTCCTTCTCGGTGCCCCACATCAGTCTTGCCAGAGAGAACCTCCCTCGCCTCAGTAGGCAGAGAGCCGGGGAGCCTCGCTTCCTAAATTAGGTATCTGCAGCTCTGCAGTGTGATAATGCTCCCCACATGACAACACTCCCTGTGTATTAATAGCAACAGTTAATTGGGATCTCAAGTGTTTTGCATAGGGCAGGCAGCCATGGTCCCAGTCAGCGGGGCTGAGCAGCAGGATGAAGCCCGTGGCCATGGCGAAGGAGGCAGAGGTGAGGGTGGCCCCAGTGCCTGTGCCCCTGGCAAGCAGGGGCTGTGTCCCTGCTGTCCCCTGCTGTCCCCTGCCCTCTGCAGATGCTGCCTTTTGCCACCAGGCGCCAGGCGAGGATCCCCATCCAGCCATGCTGGAGCCCCTCATGCAGTGAGACAGAGTCTAATAGCAAAGATGCTAATTCCCTTCTGGTTTGGGATTTTTGGAGTTGATTTGGTTTTCAATAGCAATGCTCTGAAACTGAGTCCCTAACATTTCTCTTCAAGCATTAGCTGGAGCTCTGGGTTGCCAACAGACCCTTTCCTTACATCTTTAGCGACTCCTGTTCCCCCCATATCTTTCTTACATGTTATTACAAGAGCAAATCCTCAGAGCTGAAAGTCTTCATTCCTCAGCCAAGTACAAATATTCCACAGAACAGAGAAGTTCATTGATCTAGGCTCAAAAGCTGGCCAGAAAGACAAGTCAGGACTTTCTTCTGCTATTATCATCTCAGAGTATTAGTGTCTCTCTGCTGGAGGTTTCGGAACAGTCTGTTCTGCAGCTTTCCAGACCTCTGTTTATGGGAGGAGTTTTCGAGGCATCTGTCAAACATGTTCAGTGTTTAACCTTTATGCAACTCTGAATGGTTTCATGATTATGTGATCATTTTCTTCTTGAAGATTATTTTCTTTTTATCTTTTGACTACCTACTGGGATCCCTTGAGTTTCCTCACTGGCCATGAGAAAAACCTGTGTACAAGACTGAGAGCCCTTCTGAGTTCGTCCTTGCCTCCTTCCATGCCTGTACACAGGGACCCTTTTAACCTACAGAATTTGTGACTGCATAACAGCTTTGGGTGCCAAGGGGAAATTTTGAACAATTGAGCACCATCAGGATTTAGCCACAATAACAGGCGCTGATCACGTGTGCTTTCTACAAGTACTGTATCAGATGAGGGAAGCTGAGAGCTATGTTCAGTCAGTGTGTGTTCAAGCCCTTTCACACACAAGTGGTTTTGGACAAGTGAGAGGTGATGGACTTATCAAACAACTGTCTAGACAGGCTTACTTCCCTTTCAGAAAATCCATGTCTTAAGCCCAATTAATTGGGTTTAACCTGGCTATTTCAAGCAGAAAAAAAATATTAGAGAGTTAAACAGGTATACTTAATTCCAACAGTTCTCTTTACACGGGTTGAAGTCCAGCAGCCTAAATATGGATAGGGTTAAATACAGGAGCAGACAGGAATACCAGTCTGGTTCTACCCCCTTTTTGGAGGATATGGAAATGCCAGCAGATCCTTACTGCCATCGGTTCTCCAAACCCCACTGCGCAAGTTCGATAACTGAACGTTATTGAGACATGGTGTATGTATAGCTGTGTCACTACAGCTCTCCTTTCCACTCCCAATGTCTTTCCTTAAAAATATAAAACATAAACTGTGCTTAGTTCACATGGCTTTATGGCTTTGATTTATTGCATATTTCATTAAAGCTGTCCTTAGTGTATGTATAGGATGTCATCTTTGTGTATCTTTGTGAACTTGAAGATCATCCGCTGATTTTTGTATCGTAACTCTTCTTGCCACATCCCATAGATCCTGACAGCAAGTGGAGATGGAACCTGTGCCCTGTGGGATGTTGAGAGCGGGCAGCTTCTACAGAGTTTCCATGGTCATGGAGCTGATGTCCTGTGCCTGGACCTGGCCCCTTCTGAAACAGGAAATACATTTGTCTCTGGGGTAAGCAGGAGCTTCCTATCATAATATAAAATTAATGAATGTGGAAGGGAAAAGGCAGCAAAGCAGGAGACTCGTGATCATATTGAGAGAGTGCTGGAGTATGTGTTGGAAGCCCCAGTGCAATCCACTCATTGCAAGCACATTTTCCAAGCTGGAGCAAATTAAACCTCTGACTGTGGGGTCAAACCCACCCAGCCAGTCTGACTGCAGTTCTGCTTGCTTAGCAAATTCCACCCCACACCAAAGCAATCCAGCCCGAGATCAAAACAACGCCTCTCCTGGGAAGGGAAAGGCTCGGAGTTAGAGCAGCAGGCTCCTACTGCAGCGGAGGTGTGAGCCCCTGTGGACAGGAGCCGGGCACAGCAGATGACTTCCTTCAGTTGGCTCCTCTCTGGAGCAGGATGGGGTGTGCCAAGTGCCTGCTCAGGGCGTCAAAGTGGGGCTGCAAATAACGTGCGTGCCACTGTGTCCCTCAACCGCTCCCCAGAAACCAAGGGGTAGCTTGGGCACTGGCTAAACCCTCCTACAAGTTGGAGCAGGGAGATGAGGTGTGGCCACATCTTCAGCTGTTGCTGTGTCCCCTGTGCCTTCCAGTGGTACCAGAGGCATTTAAAGCCCCTTCGTCAGTTCAACACTGCCCGCTCCTTGCCCTGGCCCAGAGGAACACACAAACCTCTGGGAGATCCTGGGAGTATCCAGGGCATCTTCCAAATATTGTCCCACTGCTGAGGGATTGCTGTTCCCGGGCAGCTGAGCCGTTGGCATGCAGCCTGGCAGTGAGGCAGGCAAGGCATAAAGGTGAGTGGGATGGGGCTCAGCTCCTTTTTGAGATGGTCCTGGTCTTTCCCACATCAGAAATCGAGTGTGGAGGTGATAGGTGGAAGGAGCTGACAGATGACCTCTCCTACTGAGGCAGGTTGCTACCAGTAACTTTGCTGAAGGTATACCTAGTTTTGGAGCCCCACCAGTGCTGACCCAGGGCTGGTCCTGTGCTTGCTGATGGAAACGGCCCTTGTGCCAAAAGGTGCTGACCATGGATTAGGTCAAGCACTTGCTGTGCTTGGAGTCACGGTCCCATCCCTGCACAAAAAAACTGGACCTCTTCAGTTATGGCTTTATTATCAAATTTGGCTGGTCCACCAGGAGCAGAGCCCAGGAGTGGCCCAGTTTGCCTGCTGCTAGCACAGCTGCTCCGAAGCGTGACTGAAAGCTAATTCCATCCAAGTGCATTACTCCTCCCGGGCTTTCCTGTCACCAAGCTTGCTTCCCAGAAAGGATAGATTCGTTCTCCCTGGGAACAGCTCAGCTTATTATAGGGCAAAGAATCGCAAGCAGCTATGGTACTGCTAAGAGAATATGTCATGCTTGTGTCAATATAGCAGCTTGGGCATGTCCATGCTTACAGGGACTCGCTTAAATTCATCACATGCAAAATACCACTTCAGTGAAGGTCTGTCTGGCAGGTATAGCCAAAACAGTGCAACCTGAAGGTATGGCACCACGGAGAGACTCCCTGTGTATTGTGCCCATGGAATATGGTAACCTCGTGCTGGATTAAGCAATGCCACCACAGCAGTGTGCAGGCTGGGTGCTGTCACCTTTTCCAGCCTCACTGAAAATTCCAGCCCTCCTGGGTGAGCTCAGGGCTGCGTCCTGGGCTGTTGTGCACCGTGCCCTCTGAGCTGCTCCTCAGGGTGAGTGGGATAGCACTCAGGGGGCCCGTCTCTCCGCAGGTGGTTGCTGCTTTCTCCTTCAAAACCTTAGGAGTCAAAGCACCAGCTTGTCAGATTGGTCTTGCTCCCAAAATCCCAGAGAGGTCAGTAAGAAGAGTGCACATGGAAGCAATATGAAGGGCTGGGCTTGGGCTGTGGCGGGGCTTGAGAGGGAAATATGCTGAGTCCAAAATGTTCTCGATCCTGTCTGGTTTCCCCTGTGCAGAAACCACAACTTGGTACAAAGAAACATCACCTCTTTTAAATAATGACATCAGTAGTGGAAAAAAAAAAGGGATTTCATTTTAACAAGAGAATTAAAAAAAAGAGAGAGAAAGATGTGAATTGTGAATAGGTTGTTTAATTTGATTAGCAATCATATTTGCTTAAAAATAAATACTCTGTGTGGCACGGTCTGCTGGGCAGGACACGCTCACTCAACAGAGGCCTCTGCTTCCCACGCAGCCTCAGGGAGGCCGAGCCCCCTGGAGCTGAGCCTCCTACCTATGGCCTGCCCCTCAGCAGGGCTGTATTTATTCAAATCTCCTGCCGCTTCTAAAAGAAAAGTCTGTGTTCTTTTTCCTGTCCCCGCGATTGCGCCAGCAGCGAGACAGCGCAGCAGAGAACATGGCCCTAGGGGTGCGAGATGGCTCCTGCCCCGGGGACGATGCAGCCATCGTGGGCTGAGCCCCTTGCCCAGAGCATTTGGGGCCCCGAGCAAGCGCCTCACAGTTATAAATGAGCTTTTCAAAGCACAGCTCAGAAGGGCAGGTTAGAGCTTGACGACAAAACAAAATGCTGTTATGCTGCTTTTCTCATCCCAACCAGGCCATTGAGCATGTGGGTGCAAGGGTTAACTCTGGTAGGGGCTGGGCAAGAGACTCTCCGGATGCACTTATTCCATTTTCTATTTCAGTGTATGAAAAGAATTAGTTATAAAACTTTAAATGCTGGGTATTAATTTTTTATATTGAGCCTGTTAAGCGGTGAGGGAGCGAGTCAGTTGTGCAGCGTTGTGGTGTGGTGGGGCTGTGGACGCTGGTGCAGGGGCAGAGCAGGGCTGTGAGTGCGGGACCGCCTGCACAACACCCCCAGTCTGCCTGCACCCCACCGTGCTGGTCTGTCTGTCTGTACCCCACCAGGTCAGTCTGTCTGTCTGCACCCCACCGTGCTGGTCTGCTGCACCGCTGAGGCTCCAGCCTTCAGGCTTGGGGACACCAGACACTTCAGGCCCCCACACCAAGCTTGGGGACACCAGTACAGCCAGTTCTGGGGCTGCTTTGCTGGTTAAATCCCCTCAGAGCTGTGATGTTCAGGACCTTGGAATGTAGCTGGGCTTGATGATGTGTGTCAGGCACGTGAGGGGTGAATGTCACCATTTCACAGCAAATTTTTTTGTCTTATTAGGGATGTGACAAGAAAGCCATGGTTTGGGATATGCGGTCTGGTCAGTGCATCCAGTCATTTGAAACCCATGATTCAGATATCAACAGTGTCAGGTCAGTATGTTTCTGGGAGAGGACACATTTGCGATGTTGAGCAATGTGTTGGTTCTATTTTTGAATTCTGACCTCATCCAAGCAATGTAATGTGTTCTGGCCTTTTTTTACTCATGTACAGATATTACCCAAGTGGAGATGCTTTTGCCTCTGGTTCAGACGATGCCACGGTATGTTAATTCAGCAACTTAATTTAGGGAAGTTCTGTTATTTCCCAAGTCAGATTCTCTAAAAAGACTAGGTCACATCCACAGAGGACTTTTAAGTGACACCAAAGTTGCAGCAATAATAACGCTATAATATAACACATACCAAATACTAGATGTAATGCTATAGGGAAAAACTGGAAACACTTAAAGGTAACCTCTGCAAACTTTTCTACGTGAGGTACTGTTCAAATATTCATTTCAGATTTTCTATGTTTTGAAGTGCCATGATCAAAATTAGTTGCGTTACTAGAAGAGATTTGGCTTCATATAATTGTTGGTCACAACACGGGAGGAACAAGATGAAACCTTGTGTCAGAAGGAGCAGCACAGCGTGAGGGCGTGAAGGGATCCTGCACATGACAGCGCACATCCCGGTGAGCAGAGGAGCCCTGGGCTGAGCTCGGAGCTGGGCAGCCCCGGTCAGCTGGCCTCTGTGGCCCCAGGGTGGCCTTGGCCACGTAAATCTCCTCCCTGTCACCCTGACTCATTGCCAAGGCTCTTCACTACTGTGAGTCACCGCATCCAGGTCATCCTAGATGATACAATAGCTCATACTTTATCTGTAAGCAAGCTGCTAGGAGGGGCACGGTATGTATGGAGAGGTAATCTTGGTCAACACATTGTATGCAAAATGCCACCTACCTCCTGGTGCCTTTGGGCCCCTGTGTGATGCTGGTGACTCTTACTGCAGCTGGTGGGTCCCCATGGGGGACTGGGCTCTGCCTGTACCACAGCCCTACAGGGACTGAACTGGCAGTTAAGTCTAACTCAAGAGCAGACGTTTGAGAGACACCTAGCACCTTTTTTCTCCTGTTTATTCAAACATCACACCAAGTTGCATGAGGGTGAAGACTCTTTCTAAGTACTCTGCCCTCAGAGCATATTTTGAGTCTCCTCCAATACTAGCTAAACTCAATGGAAACATTCCCTTTGCCTTCACTGGATGTGGAGATCTTCCAAGGCTTTTCTGGAGAGAGTGTACACGGCTTTTAGGGTTTTAAAAGCTGCAATTATAAATTAATAGCTCTAGCTCTGTGGTGAGCCCAGTGCCTCTCCACACATTCAGATGCGGTACTGTGAGCACCTGAGATGCCGAGCGAGGGAGATGGAGAAATTGTCCATCATTAAATTCCAATGAGAGCGCTCTCTTTTTATGCCCAGTACCACAGATTCTGGGCACCTGTACTTACTAATTTATTTGATGGGTCTTTTCTCTCTTAACTATTCCTGTCACCCCTGACTTGAGCAGGACAATGGGAAATTCCATCTCTACTTTTCAGAGAGGTTTTTGGCAATTTCCATCTACTTCATTCTTTAAATGAAGAGGTTGGTGTTTTCAGCGTTACAGACTGATACACTGACTGATATCCTTGACCTGATTTATATACTTAAGGATTTCAAGGAGGAGATAATCCTGACTGTCTGGAGGGAAACCATAAAAGCGTGCTCATATGGCAGTGCTGTCACCTGCGGTGACCCCGACTCCCTACCAGGACAGGCTGATGGAATTATTCATCAGCATGGAGCACTGGGAGACCTGGACTTCACACACCTGGCAGCTCCCCACTGCCCTGCGAGTGGAACAGCCTCACCTTTATGTGCAAGCTCGAATACCAGCCATTTTTCATTAGTAAAATCTTAATATTGGCAAACCCATCTGGCCAGCGTTTGCTTAAACTTAACTTACTGAGGAAGGTTTTCAGTTCAAATAGTTTCAAAAGTACATTTTGATTTCAGGGCTAACAGACTGCTTTTCTGCATGGCAATGGAGTCTGCTCCATCTATACATTTTCTGTGTCAAACAAGCCTAAGTATGCTGGCAAATGATAAAAACAGGAAGTGCAGGTTGCAGAGGTGATTGGGGATTTTCCATGAGAAATGTAAACCGAGGATTCGTATAAATATGTATTATTTCACATGAATTATTTTCACATAGGTTTTTCAGACAGAGGGTCTGCTGGAAGGGCAGGGGCTGTTTGCTGTCCCGCCTTACTCAGAGCAGGGACTACCATCATCCAGGCTTCCCTGTGCCAAGGGACTGTCATGGCCAAGCAGCCACTTCCCATGGTGCCAGTTAGGCTGCAATCCTTTCCACTCCCATTTTTTCAATGAAAAGGTAGTAGCCATTGACTCCAGCCTTTACTGAGACATGTGTTGGTTTTGTTTTAATCCTAGTGTCGTTTGTATGACCTTCGTGCAGACAGAGAAGTCGCAATTTATTCCAAAGAGAGCATAATTTTTGGAGCATCCAGTGTGGACTTCTCTCTCAGCGGTGAGAACTGGACTTTTGAGGTTATCTTAGTTCTGGGATTTGAGGGCAACTGTAAAATTTTGCCAATTTAATTTTATAAAGCATTTGTTATTAAAAGTTATTGAAAATAATACTAAGTATCAAAAGAAACATTTAATGCATGAAAGCCTGTTTTTTTGCTTCTGTAAAAATAATTACTCCTTAACTAACCTAGCTGGCTTTTGCTCCGTTGCAGCAATGAAAAGTATTTTCCTGGCCCTGCTGAAGGCAGGAAATATTTTGCCATTAACTACAGCTGGGCTAGAATTTCACAATAATGATTAAAAACATTTCAAAGGAAACATGAAATGTAACTAGACTATTAAGCGCACTTACATAAATAGTTTATAAAAGGATAATAAATGATTAATAGATAGGAAAAGTATGTTAGAGGAGCATGAAGACAGAGCCATTACTGTTTCTCACTACAGATCTGGAGACATGAGCTCAAGTCTTCTCTCTCCTGGCCAAGCACGAACACGGAGCTCCTCCAGTCACCTCAGCGTGGGGCTGAGTGGGTGGTGAACTGCCCTCCACTCAGGACAGAGGGACAAAGGGCTCTATTGTGGTCACAAACACCACAACTTGTCCCATTGGGGACAATGAATCACTTACCAAATTGTCTACTAATCATTCAACTATTTGTATTCAACTTCTTGCGTAAAGTCTGAGCAAAATATTATTACCCTGTATTAGCTGTTGAAGTGCTCTTCAGTCTGCCGTGTTCTGGGGTCATCCCCATCTCTACTAAATGAACAGATTCTATATAATTGAACTCAATCTTAACTGTGTTTGTAGCTAACACATTTTAACTGGTTCAGTGTTTAGCATGGGCAGCTCAGCAGTGGAGCAGGGGTGTCCAAGAGGAGCACAGGTAGCCTGGGGAAGGGAAGCAGTGGCCCGGGCTGGCTGTGTGTGGAGGGTGGCACAGGAAGCCTGGGTTGTGGCTCACGGGGTGAGGAATGTCCTGCAGAAGGCCCTTCCTGCAGTCAAGAGGTGTTACCTCCTGCAAACCTCACATTGTAAAACCTCATTCTCTTTGCAGGTCGCCTCCTGTTTGCAGGCTATAATGATTACACCATAAATGTCTGGGACGTGCTGAAAGGGTCCCGTGTATCCATTCTGTTTGGACATGAAAATCGTGTCAGCACCTTGCGGGTCTCTCCCGATGGGACGGCGTTTTGCTCGGGCTCCTGGGACCACACTCTCCGAGTAAGTGCTGGGAGCACCTGCCTCGAGTGCTTCTTTCCTTGTTTGTTTGATTGTTTAAAAACGGGGACAAGGGGGAAGGGTTGTTACAGGAAAATTGACTCCAGAGGGATGAATGAGGATATAAAACCACAGCGTAGAACATGAACAGAAAATGCAAATTAAAAAAAATTCCCACAAAGTGCTAGCTGAACTGTTAAAGGGAAATTTGAATTTAGGAGTTAAATAATATCATTGCTGCTGATACACTGTACCACTAAACTGACTGCCTTGCTAAATTCTAATTAAACCTTTGATAGAATAGTCAATGTCATAAATGATTGTTCAACTCTCTCTCTGCAGATCTGGGCTTAACCTGAGATCCTATACACAGAATCAAATGAAGACTGATACCCTGGACTACAACAACTGCATAAAAAAGCCACCCCTCAAAATCAAATACTTGCTGCACCACAAAAGAGTGACACTGAGCCCACAGATTAACACAGCTAGGTAGAAAATGTAATCTGCTTCAACACACAGCAAACATCAACGTGTAGTAAAATTAAATGTTTTTAATTTTGTTTTGAAACTATCTTCTTTTATTAGAACTAGTTTAGATAATTATAAAGGGACTTTTCTCTTAAGTCACCTGTATCATAGAAATGAGTATTTCAGTGCACATTATGTATTTATTTGCATGAATTGAGTTCCTTTTTAAAGTAAAACAAAAAAAAAATAGAAAAAAAGAAAAAATATTCCTGATTTTATCAGGATGTAGCATAGGACTTTGGAAACATTCCGTAATAGTGCATTGAATTTTGGTGTTGGAAAGTGGAAAGAAAAACAATTCTGATAGATTATGATGGCGTTATGGATGACTGAACCTGGCTAGTAAGTAGAGGAGCAAAGGACCTACTGTGAAGGTACTGGCTGTTGTCATAAAAAGGTATTTTTTGTACAAAAAAAGGAATCCTTTCAATCCCTGGTTTTTCCTACCGTCTTTTTAGATAGTAAATAATATTTCATCTCTGTTACCTGAATATAAAGAATCTAAATATATACAAAATGATAAACTGCAAAGATGAGGGATATAAACATGATTTACATAATCATGAGGTAATACTTAACCAGTAGTTTCTTAGAAATTTTTAATTGTATCACTTGGTGAGTGAATTTTCTTTTACTTAAAGGAATACTACATGCTAAGCACTAAGGGATACTACACGCTAAGCACTAAGCACCGTTGGATGGACTGATGGTCAAATCTTTTCCAAGTCAGTCACAAGCATTCTATGATCATGATTCTTATTTGCACTTTGAGCAGCTCATACCACTTTGGCAGGGCAACGTAGCTTAAATGCGTATTAAGGCAGAATATGCCCGTGTTAAGGCCCTTCTGCAATGTCAGGCCCAGCTGGTGCTGTGGAATTAAGATTTAACCAGATAAAGCTGAGATGCAGTTAATTATAGAACTATTGGGAAATTATATCTGCATTTATACATCAAAAACCATTGAGACAAGAGTGTGTGACATCTGCTCTCGCTGATGGGTCTGACCTGAGCAGAGGCACGGGGGGAGCAAAGTGCTGGAGTTGCTGCTGGGGGCTTGCAGGGTCGGGCCTTTGAAAAGCAAGTGGTGAGATACGTTGCTGAAAAGATCAAAGATAATGATTTATATTTAGATCGAAACAAGAAAACAAACTCATTTGAGTCATCTTTATCGCTGGATCACTGGAGCTGGCTGTTTGCGTAAGTTTGATGATAATATCCTCATTCTGTTTTAAAGTGGGTTTTTTTTACAATCCTATAAAAATTGTATTAGAAACAAAGTCTCCTCATTCATAAAAACATTAGGGTCCATGAATCCATAACCAATTAACCTAAGATGCTGACATTTGTATCAGCCTTCGGTCCCTAAGGAAGTAGTTCAGCTGTTTTGACTTGGAAAAGTCAGCTCTGATGCTTTGCAATATTTGTGGCAAGCTATCCCTGTAACAAACTGACTGCACTATGGAAATGTTGTATAGAGCTCACTGTGCAATACTGAGTCAATACACTGTACACGTTTGATCAAAAGATTAATATTAATGTTTAGATTGTATTTATTGGTAAGATGTTTGTTTCAAACATACTACATTGTGTTGATACTTATGAATGGCCTAAAACCAATAAATTGTATTTTACATATTGAGAACATGTATACAGTTGTTTTCCCCATCAGTCAGGTACTTGTAATGCTAGATATTTTTTCTGGTTTTTTTGGAATTTCCTTTTCGTACCATACAGCTTCTTAAATCATTTGTTCTGCAAAAATCTAGGGCGAAATCCAGATCTACCAGAAAATCCCTTCTGGAATATCTTCTGGAAATGCCCAAGGTGACCCAGAGCAACTGAGAGCAAGCAGTCCTCAAAAGTACCTGAGACTCCATCTGATCTCCTGCATTCAGGAGGCCAATTCAGGTTGTGTTTTCTTGCTCAGAAGGATCACAGCTGACACAGGATGTTTTCTTTCCAGATCCTCATCCCCATACCCACAAACGCACTGGGAAATGGAGAGTATGTGTTTTGTGGGAGCACGGGTTCCTCCTTGTGTCACAGTGGGACACCAGTGAAAAGCGGGCTCCGAAACGCTGCTGGGGGCTCGGGCTGTCAATGTTTGGATAAAGCACATTTGCAAATCACCTTCAGCTGCAGGGGTTCAGCTTTGTTAACAGGGAACTGTGCTGGAGTCAGCTGAGCTCCACTTTCCTGTAGGTTTTGTGGTCAGCATGAAGGTGGTTGGTGGAAGTCCTCACTTCAGACACTGAAAAAAAGCACCCCCTTCACTTGGGCTCATTGTTTCATTTCCTTTCCTCTGGGGGAAAGTGCTGAGCCAGCTTGTTCTGAGCGACATCAGTGCCCAAACCATCACCAGTTCCACTGAGAACGAGGCTGACATTGCATCTTCCACTTCTGTTCTTGCAGGGAGAAGTCCCGTGGTTCTTGCACTTCAGGGCCGCTGCCCGGGGACTTGTGAGTCGGGCCGTGTGGGCTCAGCACCTGTGAAAATCACCTTTTTGCTCCTGAGGTGGTGATGAAAGCTGTGAACTGGGATGGGCCTCAACTTCCCATCAGAGAAATGGAGATAGAGGAATGGGGCACTGAAGTATCCATTGTTTTTCTTGCTAAAGGTTGGCCAGGGAGGCTTTGGAAAACCCGGTGTTTTGCAGACCCCCCCTGCTTTGGTCTGTCAAGCTACTTGTGTCTCGGAGGGAGAGGTTTTAACCACCTTCTTGTCCTTTCCCCAGCATGTTCCAGCCCTGGAGGAGAGCCGTGCCGCTCTGGGTGCAGCAGGGATGAAGCAGTGTCCCATCAGATCCCTGGTGCTGGCCCTACCTCCCCGGCCCTCCCGCCAGGAGGAGAAGGAAAGGCAGTCCCAAAATGCTGTGCCAGCGGGCTGTCACCCCGACAGACATATGGGGCTGTAGCTGGGGCAAAGTCACTGTCAGACAGCCCCGGCTGGTTAAACAAAAATGCTATATAAACAGGAAGGGTGGAAAAGGATATTGCTGGAGAAAGAGCAGCCTCTCCCTCTTGCTCTCCTGCTGTGAGGAATGCAATAGGAAATTCCTGCTCCGGGATTAACAATCGTAAGGAAAACTCTAGTTGAAAAAGCATGTGTGTAAAGCACTGGTGAGAAGTACAGATATCATTGCAGCTACTGCTCTAGCGCATAAACACGGGCTAGATTTCCCCGCTTAAAAACAAAACAAAAGCCAAATATGGGGATGTAAAACTAAGAGTTTGCCTAAGGAACGGCTCGAAGAGATCAGGCCAATTCCTGATAGGGATCTGAGAAATTGCAATAGGATTGATTCCAACCATCTATTTTTAGATTTTCTAACGGCGATGTGGAACAGCGAGGGAGAGCTGTAACTCAGGACAGGTGGAGCGAAGCCGAGCAGCCCCGTGCTGGTGAGTTGGGCACCTCCAGCCTGTTGTGTGATGAGAGGTGCAAGACCCAGGCCCGGCAGCACCTCCTAGGTGACGGGGCACTCACAGCCACGCTTTGCGCCGGGCCACCACCTGAACCTCACCTGCAAACTTGCACCCAGCAGGAAACACCAGTTGGATGTACCTGTGCTGGGCCTACCATAAATCTTGGGGTGGATTTTATAGGAGTTTTGATGACTGATGGTACTCACAGCTCGAAGGGCACACTGGGATAGAATCACAGAATAGTTTGGGTTGGAAGGGACGTTCAAAGGTCATCTAGTCCAACCTCCCTGCAATGAGCAGGGACATCTTCAACTAGATCAGACTGCTCAGAGCCCGATCCGACCTGATCTTGAATATTTCCAGGGATGGGGCATCTACCGCCTCTCTGGGCAACCCGGGACAGTGTTTCTCCACCTTCACAGTAAATAATTTCTTCCTTCTACCTAGTCTAAATCTATACTCTCTTAGTTTAAAGCCATTACCCTTTGTGCTATCACAACAGGTGCTGCTAAAAAGTTTGTCCCCATCTTTCCTGTAGCCCCCTTTAGATATTGGAAGGGACTATAAGGTCTCCCTGGAGCCTTCTCTTTTCCAGGCTGAGCAACCCCAGCTCCCTCAGCCTGTCCTCACTGCAGAGGTGCTCCAGCCCTCTGAACATCTTCATGGCCTCCTATGGAACTGCTCCAACGGATCCACGTCCTTCTCATGTTGGGGGCCCCAGTGCTGGATGCAGGACTGCAGAGGGGATGCAGAGGAGATGTCTCCCCGGTTCTGTGCCCTGTGTGAATGATGCCACTTGGCCAGTGGTGTTCTCAGCCACTTTATCTTACACCAGCAGTAGCAAAGGGTTCCACCTTTGCGTCACCATGGTCCTCATCCTCAGTTTTGCCGATGCCCACCGAGAAGCAGACGCCACTGCATTTGCTTGCTAAATACACAACGCACTCACCCTACAGCCCTAGAAGACCTCAAGGATCCCTGATGCAAATAATCCAGGCTTGGCCCACTAATGAGGATTAAAGAAAACCCCATGAAGAAGGTGTTGCGCGGCCAGTACCCGGTCACTCGGCGCTTCGCCCCACGGCCGCGGGGACCCCCGGCTGCCGTCCGGGGGGCAGGACCCGTCCGGGCTGCGGGCGCACCCCGTCCCCCGGGCCGGGCCGGGCCGGGC